CACCAGCTTTTATCCATTGTACATCAGGCACCTCCTTGATAAACCTTTAAGCTTGCCACCATAGGCATTTAATCAAGTTGCCCAGCAGGATGGTAAGACAAGGATCCAGTTGGCACAATCACTCCCAGTCCATAAGCTCGAGGAAGATGGAGAGTCTTTAGTAAACTGATAGGGGCCTTGAATGTCCTGGGCTTGAGCAGCAGGACATGATACCATGTACCAACCAACCCCTCCCAGCAGAGCACAGGTAGCTCCAGGGTCCCTGGCAGCCCTGAGGCTGAGTCAGGCTCCTTGGACAGAGGATGAATTAGGAGAGGTAGTGGCACAAATGCACCCCCACGATTCATGCTAAGCTTCCATACGGCAAAATGCAGGGGAGGAAACAATTAACAGAGTTGCTTTCACATTAAGAGACAAACAAGATACCTTTACTTGCATCCCACAGGGCTGAGCACCTGCCCTGCTGCACATGCTCGTATGAGCAAAAGGTTTGAATGATGTTTGTGGGGAACAAAGAAAAGAGATTGCCTTATGTGATGATATTTGGGGAACCTCAGCTACAGAAGAAGAGGTACAAGAGAGATGCAGCTGAGCTTTAAAATTAATAGACCAAACAGTGTTTAATGTCAACTTGAATATGGCACAATTAAAACAACCCCAAGTTAAATGCCTGGACTCTGAAACTGGTGAAACAAGAAGATGGATAAATGATAGAAAGGTTAAGCTTTCTGTGAAATAAATACTCCCACTAATCAATCCCAACTGTGAAGAGTGCTGGGAGAATTTAATTTCTTATGGCAGCATATCTATAGCTGTGCTAGTATCTTATGGCAGTGTATCCATCTTTGCTAATAGCAGCAGAGCGTTATGGAAATGACAGGAAAGGAATCAGGGAGGGAGCTGGAGCAAAGACCAAGACAGTGCTTTATCTGACATGAAAGAAAAGCTTGAAAAGCTTCTGCACTCAAATTCTCAGTTAAGGGAAAGTTATTCATAACAAGAATTTCAACACGAGCTGATACTGTGGGAGCAGTGCTGTTACAGAGAAATAGAGGAGGAAAACGGATACCAGTAGCCTATGAGTCCTCTCCAGTGGCTGGACCAAAATTTCCTTGGCCATGAGAAAACCTGGTTAGAGGCAGTCTGGGCTGTGATGGAGTTTGAGGCTTTCCCCCTTGATAGTGCAGTTGTACCCCAGTCTGCTCCTACTCTCCCCTTACACACAAAGGGAAGAAATAGATATTAATGTGGATATCCTTTGAATGAAAATCAGGAATGAACCAAAGTTATTGCGCACTCATGGGAATGCTACATTTGATCAAAGAGGAAAAATAACCCAAGACACTCCTATCAGTGGAATGAGGGAACAAATAGTGGGCAAATTAGAGAAAGGATCATGCCAAGGAACTTACAGGCTGTGAGTAGACAACAAACCCTTCTACACCAACATCTCTCTACAGACAGCTACTATCAGGTAGTAGAACAAAATACTGATTGCATAATGGGGAGAAGAGCAATGGCAAGCACATGGTGGGACACCTATGAAGAAAATGGGAGTTCTATTTTGCAAGCTTAGAGGGACAGTGGGAATAAAATATATGTAAAGGATATTAAAGTAATGTGAAGACTACAAGCAATTCTGAGAAGTAATTTAGTGAGCAAGCAGATAAATTAACTCAAACTTTGTTTGCTGCAGTCCCAATCAGGTGTCAGCTAAAAGAAAGATGAGATGAATAGTGTGGCCAGTTGAATAAGAGCATCCTACACTTCTTTATGGAGCTCATTATGAACTAAGCAATTGTCTAAGGTAATTGTCATAATGAGCTACATAAAAAAGCGTAGGGTAGTCTGGAAAGAGTGCAAAGAGTTTATACTCAGCCTCAAATGAAGTAAGAAACATAGGACATAAAAAAAAAACTGCATAAGGTGTACAGAAGTGGGTTAGTAAAAGAAAGCTGCCAACTCTACTGCATTGGCTAAACTAAAGACTGTGACAAATACTGCCAAGGGATCACCCCAATAAACTGTCACAAATCAGTATCTGTTTGCCACTATAAATACCTTTCCTGGGCAGGCTGAGGTTCTTCCACCTAAAAGGAATACAACTGCTGGAAATGTAACAACGCTGTTACAGAAACTTGTTCAGAGGTGTGGAACATCACCCAAGACAGGAGAAGGTGAACAGAAGAGAGGGATGGGAAGGGGGAGGTTTTAAGTGAAGTATTTGAGTCTTAATAACTAGCCTGGGGATTAAGCAAGGCCTGTATAAACCCTACCACCTGTAATCACCCAGAATGAAAATGAGTAGAAAGAAATGAGTTGGACTATTAAAAATAATCTAAAGACAAATGTAGGATTATATATATCCAAATTATAGGATATAATTAGTGGCCCTATGTCCAAGAGCCTAAAATATTATGGCAAGATAAAGAAGAAAGCAATGCTCTGGTAGAAGAAGCAACATGAGAAAAATGTGTAAAATGAGAGAGCAAGGATCCAATTCCTATATGCCTTATGAAATAAGGAGCCAAGTAGTGTATTTGAAAACAGATAAAAAGGAACAAGACTTAGAGACAAAGTGAAAGGGGACTTATTAAGTTACTAATAAGATAAATCCTCTAAGATCTTAAATAGATGAGGGTAATAGTAAATATAAAAAGGTTCATGTTTTCAGATGTCTCCATAAGGGGCCAAAAAATTCTGGAATTTGTCACGAATTTGTGAAGAACAGAGACACTGAAAATGGCCCAAAGAGGCACCTCTGGCACCTGTGTAGCCCTGGTCCCTGCACTCAGAGCCTGCCCCAGCTCAGCCTCGTGTCCCAAAAGCAAGGGAGTGCAACCCTCCTGGTGCTCACCTTCCCCCATCTGCAGCACATCTGTTTGTGTGCTTGCATACTCATGGGGCTGGACTATGCTGCAAGTTTTGCTTATTTGCTATTTTTGCAGGACAGCAGAATTTACTACAGCTCCTCAAAAAAGCAGCAGCTGACGGAGTCAAGGAGCAGCAATGCAAACTCCAAGGCAAGGCAGAGGAGTTGAGGTCTCCTGCAGTTGCGAGGATTTCTAAATTGGCTTAGATCACTCCATATTAATGAGTTTGGTCTTTTTACAAATTGCATTAATTTTAGATATTTAAGAAGGCAGATAATGACTGTGAAGTGCTTTGGAGACCTAGAGATGATCATCTTCAGACCTTTAAGGTTCTGGAGAGCAAATGTCTCCACAGAGAGAATACCTGCCTGGTCCTGATCAGGAGCCTGGCATTGCTGCAGAGTTTGGAGCATCCTCGCTGCTTTCATGGGCAGCAAGCCAGGAACTGGACACTACCAAAGGAGATGAGAAACAGCAACCTGAAGACCATCAAAGTGGCACTGCTCTTGTTAACAAGATCATAACCCATGCATTAACTATACAGACAAAATTGTTATAGCTTGCCTGTTTGTTTTCTCCTTTTTGTTGTTGTTGTTTGGGGTTTTTTTGGTGGTTTTTTTTTTTTTTTTTAGTCTGTTTTACTGAAGTCACCAGTAAGATTTTCATGGCTAGATACTAAACTATGGCCCAGCCTGCCTTAGTCTTTAGCTTGCTCCAGCTACTTAATCTAATAGTAATATCTGAAGAACCCAAATGAAAAATTGTTACAGCTCTTAAGGGAGCCTTGAGAGTTACAGCTCATGATCTGGATCCACCCAGATTGGGAAATCATAGCTGCAGCTTTGGAAAAAGGGCTCTAAAATGACAATAACTGAATTAACTCAGTAGTTTTATCGGTTTACAGAAAAATCCAAAGAGGAGAAACAGCTTGAGGAAAAGCAGCTAGCCCTGGTGTCAAACTGCTGATTTCAGTAATGGCCTTTTAAGCAATTTAGGAGGAATTTAGGAGGAAGGGTCAAATAAGAAAAGAAACAGAAAGGAGAGATCGAAGCAGGCAGGAGACTGAGTGCCATCAGTAGCTAAGGAGTTAAAATTTGAGAGTACTGGGGTTAAAGCACATATATGTGGAGGTCTGAAATGGGATAAAGAGTAATGGATTGTAAACTATTATGACTGAGCCACAGTAGGAGTAACACTGGAGAACAATGTTAGCCGTGTTAATAGCCAAAACTTCACTGCCAAGTCTTGCAGTTCTTTAAAGAGGAAATTATAAAAATCATATATTGTGGATAAGGATGGCAAAAATCGACACAGAAACGTTATAAATGGTCATGCAAACAACTCTGTGTAATTCTCCCCTTCACTGTCCCCCACAGCTGTTTAGCAGCCTCCACACATCCCAAGCCCAGCTCTGATACTGCACAGCTGCATAACCTTGGGCCAAACTTCTGAGCAAACCGCTAAGTTATGAGACAGTCTGAAAGAAGATAAGAAGGGCAAAAGCAGGGGGAGGAAAACCAAGAGCTTTGGGCCAGATCAAGCCATTAATATCTACACTGAAAACTGCATGAAACTGTGTTTGAGCATCCAAACCAGATGTTTACCTTCCTTAGAAAAGGCCAGCAATAGCATTAGTCACTCACCTGAGCTACATCAGGTGATAGTAATATTAGGATAACTAAGAACAAGGCTCATAGAGTTGCTTTGGGGATAAAAAAAAAAAGGCAGATTAAATTTTTCTCTCAAATTGCAGTTAAAAAAAAATTATTGCTTCTCTTTTTTTCTTTTTGAATACAGTAGATTTTCTCCTCTTCCTTGCACCCAGGAGCCTAGCACACAGCTCTTGACTTCAACTTTTTAGCCTGGCCATGCTTTTTGTATCTGCTAAGCCTCTTCCAGCAGTCAATAGAGAAGCTACCCAAAAAGCCAGCAGGCCTTGGGTGTGTCCTGCTGCCCTCCTCCGAGCTGGCCCTACATACAAACGTGGGAAGCTGTTGGGGTCGCGTGGTGACAGGCAGCAGTGCCAATGTTTGGAGCAGACAGGTAGGAATGATCAGCTGGGAACCAGGAGAGGGCAGGGCAGGACTCTGGGGGCTGGCAGGGGACAGAAAGGGCTCAGTTCTTGTATTAACTGATAACATTGAGCGCGTTAATCAGCAAGTGAAGCTCATCCCTCACGCTCTCCAGGGAGTGGCAGATCATCTGAGGGCTGTCCAGGAGCTCGATGCTGTGGGTGTAGGGCTCGTACTTCACCGAGAAGGGCCGCTTGATGTGCGCCGCGTAGCTCCTGCAAGGGAAGGTGCACAGGGATGGCTACAGGGCAGGGGCCCTGAGTCTCCCTCCTACTCATCACCATTTACCCAGGAAGATCAGCACAGGTTAATGCCTCCTTTAGGCAGAGTTTCCACCTTTCCAGCTCCACTGCAGCAGTAGTTGAGATCCCTTCTGTTTGTCAAAGAACACCATGAGTTTGACTGTGGCTCTCTGTGGGCTGTACCAAACAGGAGGGCACATCAAACTGGTCACCTCCATGGCCATTGCCAGGCATTCCCTGCTGCAATTCCCTTTTCAAAAAAGGCCAAGGAGATTTAGAAGCTAATTGCAGGGAAAGCCTCTGGTATTATCGTAGTGTATTACTAAATCCTTTCTGACGTGCATTTATTGACTAATCTCTGCTTGGGGAGGGGGGAACTAGCTGTGTGCTTATTAAGGATAGACTTGACAGGCAGTGGCTCAGACCTGAGCTAGAGGATGAGAATAGTGTCACCAGAGCCTTGTGCTTCAGCAAAGCTGCACTGCTGTACCCAAAGCCAAATTCAGCCTGAATCTCGGCGATGAGCTTGACTCTACCTGATATCTCTCAAGAGCAAGATCTTGTTGCTGTTTTTCTAATGGAGAAGCATGTGGTCAAGTGAAAGCTAATCAAGGGGTAGGGCTTCCCCAAAGTTGCCCACATTCACTTCCAGCACTGAGATTGGTATACTTGACAAGGCAGGGCTTTTTCATTTGGGAATTGTACGGTTGTATGACTATGGAGCTGAAAATCTATAATTAGATGCTTGTGGCTGCAGTCTCACGCTGGAAAGGCCTGGGAACATGAGGGGACAAACAGCGCTAACAACAGGCATGCTCCTGTCCTCTGCCGAGGCTTCACCCTTTCGCTCCTGGATTGCTTAGCTTAGGCTACCCTCTTGTGGCTACCGCGGGGCTGCTCCGGCGCCGCGCTCGGGAAAGCGCAGCCCTTTCCCAGATGGAGACAGATGTTCCTCCAGCTGGTACTTCATGGCTAGGCCGGAACTGGAGGGATCTGGAGGAAAACACAGCACAGAGGGCCAAGGGGAAACACGGTGCAAGGCGCAGGCTGGCGCTGGCAGGGAGCTGCCATGCCATTGCAGGAAAACAACGAAAAAAAAGCATAAACAAAGGAGGTTCGTGCATACTCACATTGTCCTCCTCCTAAAAGATGTGGTTCCTCTCAGTTCTGCCAGGCAAAGTCCTGCTCACTCTTTTGTTAATGTCAGCAGTCACAGTGATGGCTCGTAGCACAGCCTCTAATGGCTAGAAACCTGCCCTCCAAAATGGGTGTGCTCACTTGACACCTTTTGAAACAACTAGATACATCATGGCTGCTTGGAAGGGCACTGGGGGAGTGTGTCCTTTCTGAGAAAAGAGGTTTTTCCCTAGGAGTAACACTGATAGTCAGGCCTGTGGTGGCAGCTGCCAGTAATGCAAAAGGGATGATGCTTTAATGTTTTCACCTTACAGAGCAGCATCTGTGTGGTCTCTGAGCTCCTTAAAGAGGATAATTTACAGTGCTTGTCACAGTCAAGACCCTCTAGCCTAATCTTGGCTGTGTATATGGTGTATTTTCCCTTTTTAAATGCAAGGAAATGACTCATTAGGCAGCAGTTGAGTTTTTTTTAAAGCAGCCGTGTGTGTGTGTGTGTGTGAGCATGGGCTCCCCCGTGCTTGCTTTTGAGCAGCTGGACTCCAGGTTGTATGAACAGTGCAAGTGAGAGTAATAAAAGCAGAACTTGAAATATAGCAGTCCTCACCACGTTATTTATATTAAATACCCCTCTTGTAGGAACTAAGTCTTGTACGTCATGCTTGCCTCATCCTGTCTCTTTCCTAAGTGAGGATAAAAGTGGTACAGGCAAAGATTTCCTCTGTCAATCAAAGTAGTCCAAGGACTGAGCTTTCCTCCTGTGGGCAATTCTGGGTATGACCAAGAAAATGCTCTTCTGAACAGATGTCTGTGGGTAGAGCTGACCCTTACCATCCTGTTTGCAGTCCCATGGGATTGGGAAACCCAGTTACCATGGTGGGATGGTATCTAGGGCCCAGTAACACTAACAGTAATGCTAACAAGCCTAGTGGCAGAAGCCAATTTTTTCCCCTGGATAGATTTATTCATGTCAAGCATGTTCCCTGTAGGATCTGGAGAACTGCTTTACTTTGGAAGACCTGACCAAAGTTTTCAGAGCACTTCTGAGAACTCAGACTGAAAGCAGCCATAATGTCAAGTCCTATTTCAATATAACATCCTCATCTCCTATTGTTTGGGTCTCTCTCATTGCCCAGTCCTACCTCAATTTATTTTTGGCATCACTGAAGCTCTCAGACACAAAATAAACAGGCTGGTAGTTCTGGTCCTGGTAGGGCTGAACAGCTGCAGCATCAGGGTCAAAGTCCCTCACCTCTGGTTCATCTGACAAGGAGTGCTGTGAACATGGCAGAAAAAATCCAGCATGAGACTAAGGGGAGTGGAGACCACACATGGGGTAGGCAAAGGTGGAGAACAGACTGAGGGAAGTCATTGTGCAGAAGCAGGAGGTGTTTTTCTCCACAGGGTCTAGAGCAGAGGCAGGTTATGGTGGGACTTACAATGAGCTCCCCATAAGAAGAAAGGAGCCCGGCTCCATAGGCTTTGACTATTCCATTCTGTCTGCAGAGCCCAAACTCCACTGTAAACCAGTAAAGCTGTGAAAAGAAAAAGAAAAATTCCTGAGGGACACAGGTCCTCATCCTAATCTCCCTGTCACTTCTGAGCCCTTACACCATGGCCAGGCTCTGGGGTTGTTTAAAGGAACAGGCACCTGCCTCTTTGTCCCCTCTCTACACTTTGGTTTCAGAGAAAAGTGCTAAACTAAGTTGCTGCTACACCAGGACAGAGTCTGTGTCCCTGGGCTTGTTCCATCTGCTGTGAGATGCTGCTGTTTGGTGTCCTTGGAGCAGGACAGGTCACCTTGCTGAGGGAGAGCCAAAGGAAGCAGATGTCATTTAATCCCATCCCAAAGAGTCCCAGCAGTGCTGTTGTTGGAAATCCGATGCTTGGTGATACTACTGGTGCCCGAGAAAATTGGGTTAATGTGCAAGTGAGCTCTGCTGTTTAACTGATCTCTGCTCTGCACAGTCATCATGAAAAGAGCATGGGGCAGCTTGGGTGGGAGCTCTGAGCCTGCAAATCTTGGAATACCAAACTGGACCAGTCCCCTTGATACCACAGCAGCACTGCTGGAGGTGTTGTGTCCCCATCCAGCAAAGGGGAACTCTTACCGTTGCTAGTTTCTCAATTTCTTCATCAGTTGCTCCCAGAGACGCCAGCCCAATGTCCTAGGAAGAGAAGGGAAGGAGCAAACATCAGGACTGAGGGCCTTAGACATTGATTGCTCTGTTTTATTGGCTCAAGACCATACATATTGCTGCCCTGCAGTGCCAGGCATCTGCTGGGACTTCATCGTGATCAGACTAAAACCACTTTGTTGCAGAGTCAGTATTTAGGGTCTTGGTCCATCACAGAACTCATGGCTAATAAGAGGAAGAAAGGTTTAGGTGGCAACACCAGGGTTTGGATTCCCACCTCTCAGGGGGAGAAAGCAGATACCACCTTACCTGAGAGAACTGGGCAAATGTCTTGTCAGCCAGCATCGGGACATGCCCCAGCAGCTCGTGACAGCAATCCCTGCCGAGGGGAGGGGGAAAGGAGGCAAACACAGTCAGCAGCAGCAGCAGAGTGCGTCTGCTGGGGGAAGAGGGCGATGTGTGGCCAGCTGGGGCTCTGCGGAGGGAGGCCACGGGCGATACTCACGGCTCGGGGGAGTGCATGGGCGAGGAGGCGTGGCGGATGTACTGCGTGCACTGGAAGACGCGGAAGGCCAGGCTGGCCAGGAAGTCCCGTGCCGAGAGCAGGCCAGCCACGGGCCGCAGCTGGAAGCCAGTCCTCTCTGAAACAGCACACACCCGCTGTGCAGGGCGCGGGGCCCACAGGCTGCCCCCAGCACTGGGGGCTACACAGCCCAATCCATCTGCTCCTCTGGGAACAGCCCCTGCTCTTCCGGTGCTCAGCGGGATCGTTTACCATGGGCTTGCCCTTCAGCCACAGCCCGCTGTGTTTGGCTGCAGGCCCCACCACCTGGGCTCTACCTCTGTCCTCTGTGAGCAATGCCCAAGGCACCAGCTCTCCTCCTAAATCTCAGCTCACTCACTACTCCTTTGGGTTCAGACCCTGAACCTGGGTGCCCCGGGCTCGTACTCACCTTTCAGGAAGCGGGACACCTCCTCCAGCTGAGGGATGTTGTTCTCATTGTAGCCACAGAATTTCTCCAGTAGACTGAAAGCCTCAAGGTACTCCTTGCAGGCATGGGTGGGGTACAAGCTCTTCAGGGTGCTGTACACCTCCTTCCTTCAGGAGGAGAGGTGGCGGACATTCAGTGGTTAATGTGTCCACTCCCCTCCTGCGCTCTGGCTATGCACTATCAGGGACTCATGTCTTTAGGCCCCGTGTCCTTTTGCCTTTCTCCACCTAAGTCTATGTCTCTGCACATTGATAGAGGTATGTAAACACACAGACACACATTCAAATGAACCTGCAAAGGCAGCACAGGTCTGTGTCTGCACAGACCTATTTCTGACTTGGAGGTCAGAAGACTGTATGAAAGGTATTAGCTGGAATTAAAATATTCCCAGTAGGTTAACTCCTGAAGCTGCACTGTGAAGACAGTCAATAGAACCTGGTGACCTTGTTGAGAAGCCTGTGTACTCAGCTCATATGAGCTGGCCTTGTTTTCAGAAACACTCCTGCACAACACTCCTGGAAAAAATCACGTTCAAAGGGAGTGCTTTCCTAACTGAGGCCTGTGAGGTACCACACGGACATTCACCATGGGCCCCACACTTCTTCCTGCAGCTGTGATAACTGCTCTTTGTTTGGAGGCTGCTACTGAGTCAGGACCCTTAGAGAAGTGGGGCTCCAAATTATCCACCTTGCTCTGTGGGGAAGCTCCTTTGGAGGAAACTCCTGGAGGCTGCACCATGAAAGTGTTTTTCATAACAAGCCATTAAGTAGGATGCTCGCGCTCCTGACACATTTTTCAAGAGGTCATGCCCTAAATGTTTGGGTTCTGATTCCCAGCCTCTAGTGGTGAAGCAGTACTAGTGAAATCAGCACTAATCATGAAATCAGCACTCACCAGGTAGCTGTTTCCTCCGCCGTGTACTCCACGTGAGGGATCGGGTCCCCGCTGCAAGGCAAAGGCACCATTACTGAGCAGAGCCCCAGCCAGGCCCATCTTCCCCAGGAGAGGAAGCACTCTGGAGAAGCTCTGCATGATGTTCTTAAATCTTCTTTAAAAACCAAACAAGGGGGTGACAGGAAAAACAAAGCCTTAGTACTGGGTCATTTGTACAGGTGCAACAAATACATAGATGCAAAGAAAAGCATGAGTCTAGTCAGAGATTGTGAATGAACAAGGGATGAGCAAGAGTTTAGCAGGTGTAATATTTACCAGGGGGGAAAAAGTGGTTTTCTCTGAAAAAGAAATTTTAAAACTTTGTGTGTGAAAATAAATTCATTTCTTATGTCTGAGCTTCAGGGAGCTGATGGCTGCAAGAATGAACCGGTGGCTGGGAAATAAAAGTAGCTAATAAGGAAAACTAAATGCATTTGACCTGCAGAAAAATATATTGTCAATAAGGTTAAGGATGGCAGGAAAAGAAAATTTCAACATTGATGTAAATGGGCATTGATGAAATGACAATTTTGCTTTTTCTCATCATAGTTAACAATTGTATTTCCTAAGTCTTTATTTTCTGTGTTTAGACAAATGACATATTCATATATTGTAAAGCACAGTTCCTGAAGGGATGCCTGAAGGGATGCTACACAGTGGCTCATAAATGTTAACCTGTAGGTGAAATGTTAGAGAAGACCTCTTAAATTGGTGCCTCATCTTAGAACAGTATTTAACCCTGTGTCACTTGGGACTCTTCCTCTGGCAATGTGACTTTCTGTGTGTTTAGTATTTGAACAGGATAAAACCATCAGTATTCATATCCTGGGCTTCAAATTGGCAAGGTACATGAGAACCAGAGCAGAAGTCCTTGCTGGGATCACACCAGTTGCAGGGGTAGCTCAAACAGGTGACCCATATAATTTCTGTAGTCTGCTTTCAGAACTTGAAGTCCTGCTCAGAGAGAGAATGCTAAGGTGAAAGGCAGCGTCGCTGAATAGGATCTAGGGAATATTTTACAAACCTAACTGAATATCAGACTCTGTCTGATGTTGTAGTGAACATGCTGAGTGCTATCACTGTATGTATCAGAATAGAAGTATTAAGTAAGAGTACAAGGCATAGTCTTAAATCTATATAAGACAATTACTGGAACATTACTGGAATCTATTTAATTTAGCAGAGTTAGGAGGCGAATCATTTAGCCTATAAATACCCTCAAAGCAAAAAAAGAAAAAAATCTGATTGCAGTATTTTACCTAGTAGATGAAAGGCATGTGTGATCCATTGGGTAAAAGCTAAAGCTATCAAAGTCCAGCTTAGAAATAAAACCCACATTTTTTCACTACCAGGATAATGAACCTTTGGAACAAGTTTTCTGGGCATGGGTATCTTTTTCAGTACTTGAAACACTGAAGTCAAAACTAGATGCCATTCTAAAGAGAATTTCCAAATGAAGTTTGAGGTCTGATGGATATATATCTGGCTTTTGTTATGCAGGAGGTTTATTCTTACTATACCCTTACCAATGTATGAATTAATGACAACAGATATTTTTTAATTTAAGAGAGACTGGAATGCAATGAGAGAAGGCAGACACAAAAGGAGCTGGAAAGGCTGAATAGGGAGACAAAACATAAAGGAAGAGAAGTGTCATACAGGTGACATACAATGACTTCCCAATAGGTTCACTGACATGTCATTATCCCCACATGAATGTTAGGAAGGAGACTTACTGCTTATAGTGAAAAGCAATCTCTGCTATTGATTTCCTTCTCTGCCGATATACTGGGTCAGAGTAGCCCTGTGGTGACAAACAGGAACAGAGACACAGAACTTTTAATCAGTCACTAAAGTTTCTCACCCAGGAAAATTCATCACTGGCTGTAGAGACATCTCTAAAGGTGGCAGTCACAGTCCAGTCCCCTGATCAGCTGCACTGATGGGACAGCTCAGGAGTTCAGTGGGACAGGGTGCACTCAGAGTGACTCACCGGGTGATCCAGATCCAAGTCAGGGTCAAACTTGGTGACCAAATGGTGGCACTTGTCCAGTTCGCAGATTTTCCTGGGAAACCAGTGAACTATGGGGAGAGAGAAAGTGACAGTCTGTCTGTGGAAGGGAAGATCCCCTAAAGAGAAGGGGCTCTGAGGCTGAATAAGATACACCTGATCTGGTGTACCAAATGCACACATACAACATGGCACAGCTACTTCCAGGCAGTAGTCTCACAATCTCAGTGCTCCTTTCCTAGAGTCATGTCTAATGCCACGATCTGCATTTCATTACTTCCTTGCCCATCTCTCAGCAGAATATTTTGTGGCAAAATTAAAGAAGAAGGTGAAAATTAGATTTTACTGAATGATTCACATTAAAAAACACCCAGAGATCCTGCTGGTCATAGTTCTCTAGGGATAGTCTCCTCCAATATTTTTCTACAATAATCATCCTATCTTCAGAACAGGATGGCACAGGAAGTGTCTTGTAGATTAGTGCTGAATCTGTACAGAGGTCCCAACACATAGGCAGGAAACTACTTTGCATTTATAATATAAAAGGCTGGAGTAGGGATGGAGAACTCATGAGGAGAGGTGTGAGCAAAGCATGAAATTCAACCTCCTATTTCAATTTTTTTTCAATCTTTTACCAGAAGAATGAGCTATGAACAGTGGAGCCTGTTGAGAAAAGGACAAGGAGGGAAAATACTTTCAGGATTTAGGTATCCCAGAGGCAGTCCCTTCTGGTTTGCTCAAATTCAGCACACAGCAGCCCTTTCCCTTTACTGGGAATAACAAAGCCTCCACCCTGTTTCTACAGGGAGAGCTCAGCCCCTCAGCACAAATGAAAGTGTTTTTAAGTTCCTTACATTTGTCTTCCTTAGTGGTCCTCACATCTTCTGCTACCCTCTTGATGGAGCTAATGAAAGTATTGAGGTCAGAGCTGTGGACTTCACAGCGCACGAAGTATTCCAGCTCAGCGATCCCTTCACGGGCCTTTCGGCTAAGCCTGGTCTCCAGGTGGTGAATTTTAGCTTCAAATGTCTTTTGAGACACAGAAAGGAAGAAAAAAACCAAAACATTAAGCAACATTTGAAACACTTCCTGCTACTACCCATATGGACACAGAATTATAGAACAGTTTGGGTTGGAAGGGACCTTAAACATCATTCTCATTCCAACCTCCCTGCTGTGGACAGGGACAGCTTTCACAGACCAGGTTGTCAGAGCTCTCTCCAACCCGACTTTTAACACTCCCAGGCATCCACAGCTCTGGGCAACCCATTTCAGTTCCTCATCACCCTCACAGTAAACAATTTTTTCCTACTATCTGACCTAAACCTACTGTCTTTCAGTTTGAATCCATCCCCCCTGCCCTGACACGACATGCTTTTATAAAAGTCCCTCTCCATCTTTCCCCTAGACCCCCTTCAGTTATTACAGGGCTGCAATTAGGTCACCAATAAGCCTTCTCTTTTCCAGGATGAACAATCCCAGTCTGGGATGGATTCCTTCTTGTTTTCTTCAAGCCCCCCACCTCCCTCCCGTATAAGCACCCTTACCCATTAATTCCACATTTTCTCCTTTTGCACAAACACCGAGGCCGTTCAATAACTACCCACAGAAGACTTCCACATGGCAAAGAAGACCAATTGATGTGGCAGAGCGCCACGTTACATTTTCCCACCCCAGCCACTCCCGAGGCGTGTGTTGGTGGGGGCTGTGGCGGGTGGGGTGCTGGCCTGGCGGGGCCCCGCAGGTCCGGCGGGGTCCCAGGGGTCTGGCGGAGTCCAGCAGGTCCGGCGGGGTCCCGCGGGGTCCCGCAGGTCCAGCGCGGTCCGGGTGGACCGGCGGCGCGGCGCTGGCCGTGGTGCTGAACTCCGGGGCTGCCGCGGCTCGTCCGCACCAGCGCTGCTCTGGGCTCACACCAGCACCGATGTCATTTGGGCTCGCTGTAGGAACTGGCCTCCCCCATGGAACAAGGAGGCAAAATGATGTCTGCAGTCCCGCAGAGGGCCCTGGTAGATTTGTGGGTATTTCCTTTAGCTCAGTGAAAACTGGCAGTACAAGCCCAAGGCACTAGGCAATGACCCAACCTTCCCAAAGTTCCTGCAGGACCTTTGATAGAGGAAGGGACATGATTTCTTTTGTTAATCAGAGGCAAAAAGATGAGAAGGAACAGACGTGATGCCACAGGTAAATTAAATTTACCTGTGTTTTTTAATGTACCTACCAACTTCACTATTACATTGTCCCCTCAACAATCGATACCTTTGCATTAATCTGACAGCTGTGATTGCATTACCTATGCTTCAGCTGCATGTAACACATACAGAAGAGTGAAACCAGCTTCCCTGCAGCTTGGTTCATGATGAGGTAAATGTCATTATGCCCGTCTGCTTTCATATCTTGTACCTGCATTGCCAGAGGGATCTGGGAAATGAATCTTCCTCTGCCGGGACTTGACATGCTTGTCTTTTTATTATATTTAAAGCTCTCTCTGTGACAGGCTCAAAGAGCTTTTTTGCTCCAGGAAGAAACAAACAATATTTGAACATAAGCTGCCACAGCTTCTCGCTTGATGTTTTAAAAATTGTTTAAATTACAGAGTTTAAATGCAATATAACATAAACTCTTTGAAGTAAAAGAGCTTACACTACTGTTTCATACCCACTGAGCAGCCTGTTGAATGTTACACTGGTGGATTTGTCATGCTTTATCTGGCATCTGTGTGTTCTGAGGAGACCCCAGTCATCTCAACACATGGGTTTTGTATGAAAATTTGTCATAAAGGTTCTTTCAGTCTGGAGACAAGAACCATACATTGCCCAGAAAACAGCTTTTCTCTCAACAGTTCTCGTAGAGGAATTGTAATTGCTGAAGATCTAAATGTTTTTCATAAGATTATCAGAGGTAATCTAAATGGGCAATGAATAGCTAGAATGCCCTACAATTTCAGGGAAATACTTATCCCCCAAACACACTTTTTGTATGTTTACAGTTTTTAAGTAGCAGAGTGTACAAAGCCTCAAACAACCTGCTGTGACTGGCCATGTTCTGAGCAGGAGGTTGGACCTGAGACCTCCAGAGGCCCCTTGCAAGCCACGTGACTGATTAATGGGAACAAATTGTCCTCTCCTCTCACTGCTGAAGTCAATGAAATTAAACTACCATAAATAAAATGCATCTCAGAACCTCAGTTGGCAAAACACTTTTGAATCATTCTGGATGAAAACACACTACATGAATGCAAGCTGTCATGCTTGGATTACTGTTTAAATAGGCAGCACTTATCTCAGTCTTTCCATTCATGGCAGTGAGATCCTATATAATGCAACATTACATTGCTGGCTAGGGGGAAAAAGCTTGGTTACCAGTTTTCCTTGGAATTAAAGGCATAGACAGGATGCTTCTCCTGGGGAACCAACAGAATCTTTAACATGTGAATCAGAATAGAGCAGGTAATTTTGAAATCAATATGCCAGTTTTACACCCAGGGCAAAGTTGTTTCCGTAACTATTTGACTGAGGACCAGTGTGGTAACAACCCACAAGTGAGGTGAGTTTGGTCTGTGGACAGGCAGGGCACACAGCTTGCTTTGAATGTGGGATCAGAGCCTGTGCCTGAAGTGCTGAGCAGTGGGGAGGGCTGTCAGAGTACACTGCAAACCATAGGGTGTGGAGTTGAGTGTGAAACTGAAAATAATTAAGCAAAATTTAGGACAGAGCTTAACAGCACTGCAAGACGAGGTACGCCTCCTTGTTACTGATGGCAAGTGAGAACACACTGGCCCATGAGCAAAGCATGACTTCAGAGATACCAGACAATTAATGTGATAATTTCAAGTAGGCAGACCTAGTCTGAGGCTTCTTTATTACACTCAAGTGACGCTTCTCACAGCCCAGTCGTGAAACCTGGAGTGTGTTCCTTGGGTACCAAGGTACTCACCTCAAATACCTTAAGGACACGGGACAGTGGTGAAGTCTTGGCTCCCTTGAGCATGAAGAAGAGGTTCAGCATGGCTCTCCCATCCTTCTCCTCGAATACAATGGTCTCTGTGGACTCTGCAGCATCAGTGGCTGCAGCCGCAGCCTCTCTCTCCTTCCTGGCATCCTCAATGAGGCTTTGGCGTCTTCCAATGAACCGTGGAGACTGAAGGCAGAACAGAAATAAATAACACTGCTCACAGAGTGGAGGAGATCAGAGGCATTCCCAGTAGCTGGAAGAGATGTGACTGGTATGTGTCAGCAGAGGAAACAGGGAAAGCCTGGACTGACTTGCCTGGCTTTGTAGAGGGAGATCTGCTCATGAGGACTGAGGTTTTAGAATTGAACTTTCAGAAATGGGAATCTTTGGTAAAAAAAACCAAAACTGTGTAAAATATCTTTTTAGCATAACTGGAGAGTGGGCTTCTCCTCTCACCTCCCCTAGCAACAGTTTTCAATATCTTCTGAAAAAACCAAAACCCACAAAAAACCTTACGTGGTTTTCAGGTGTCTGATGAACTGGAGAGACATCAGCTAAACCTGAGGTCATCTGAGAAAAGATACTTTGTGAGGGACAGGTGAAGCCCACAGCTGTGGCCTGGCCAGGAAACAGGAACTGTTTGCAGGTGTATTAGCAGGGCAGCTTAGCAAAACTGCTCCCAGGATCCAATGTGACATTTACTTTGACATTAAGTGGATGCTTATCCATTGAAGTGTAATTGAAACCACAACCATATACCCCAGAAAATAAATTCCTCCCACTTATCTGTAGATTCATTTTGTCTGAACAAACTCCTGCAGATTTCTGTTACTTGGAATTGAACCTAAAATGCAACTCTGTGCCTGAGGTCATGTCAGGACACCTGTTTATACTTATAGTGAACTACAAACTATTTCAATCACTGCTGTTTCTTTTGTTGTACAAATAGCTCATATACCAACTTATTTGTTCTTGGTCTTTTTACAACCAGTTTTCTATTCAGAGGCAATGCATCTGGTTCCAGTTTTCTGTGTTCAAGACCCAAACCAGATGACAAACCTCCAGAGCTTGCTAAAAGAAACCTGGCACAGCACTGAAGGACACAGAGTGGGACTGGCTGTAGTTTCCCCTGTGATTACATTGAAAATATTTAGCACATGCTAACTAAGCAGTGCTTTCCCTACCTCATGAAAATTAAGAGTGTTTCCTTTTAACAAGACAGCCTGACTGACTAGTAAGTTTATTTTCTCTCTGATTTTCAAAGCCCACTATCAGTAACTCATGTTTCCTGTGAGAATCCTCTCGGATGCTTTAGCGGTGTAAAGCTGACACTTTAAATACAGCCTCAAAAACTCAGCAGCACATCGAGGCACCAGCCCACACACCTCTATCTGCTCCTGTTTCAGTAAAGATACCCCTCCAAAATGACATTTCCAGATCCCCCCCTTTATTCCTCAGGGCACAGAAAAACACCTTATAACAAATAAGTGCATGCTGCTGCTTATCTGAATTGGTGGCATTCACGCCCAAAGAGAGCAGACATCTCACAAGTGACCTCAGTAACTTTAAAAATCTTGTGAGCATGTTCTCAGCTTTAAGTGTGTGTTTTCCACCAGTGCAGTGTTTTAAGCTAAGCTGGTGTTTACTTTAAAGTGCCTGCAATAAGCAGGGCACACTGTGCCCTGTGGCAGCCACAGAAAATGAGCTCCACAGCCATCCCAAGCCAGGCAGTGCTTTACCCAAGGGTGCCTTGTCACTCTGTGCCCCAAGGTGCAGCAGGATTTTACTTCTGGGTAGGAGAAGGGTAGAGAAGGGAAACTAGACCCCCATATTGAGGATGTAAATCAGATTGAAATCCAGCTGGGTGGGTTTAAAATACCAGGGTTGGGTGACCGGAAAGCTGCACCAGGAGAAGCAGACTCTACCAATCCCACACATGTGCTGGAGCTGGGTGGCCCCTGGCAGGCAGGAGTGGGAGCTTTGGTTTCTGTTCATAGCTGCATGATGGCATAGTTTAAGTGGGTAAATTGGGGAAAAAAAATCAAAACAAAGCAAAAAAAGGCTGAATTTTCCTTGGGAGAAGAGGGCTGGGAGGAATCTGCCTGCCTGCTGCCTCCTCTGCCAGCTGAGGCTGCCTGGCTGTGTGTTCCCCACCTCACTGTCCTCAAATCTACTTCTCACATTTATGCTCATTGGGCTACTTAGTCCTTTTGCTGGAAATTAGGGTTGTGGGATATATAATAACCAAACTGATCTCTTGATAAATGCCTTCCTTTCTTCCAAAGGCACCATTATATGATATTTCTGAATTGTCTTGCAGACTCCCTCCCTGAGTGCATATCTGGCTACAGTGAGAACTGTAATTTGATTTTGCAAAGCATTTATTTGCCTAACCAGGCCTGACTCATTCACCTCTTCTGAAGGTTAGTTTGCCCCTCTTATGAAGGGTTTGTTCATTTTTCCTTCCTCGAATTTGCTGCAAGTCAGTGTGCCCAGCCTGCATATTGTTATTAAAAATTCTGTTCTGAGCTATTTTGTTCCTTCCCCCCCCCCCCCCCCCCCAACTCATTATTTGCTGCAATCAGGAAGGATTGTAAAGCCTGGGGACATTAATGTCCCACCCCTGCTTTCCTGGGTGCTTTTTGCTGCTTTTTTGGCTCCAATGTCTGTCTCCTGCTTGGCTCTGTAACCAGACTGCCCCAGGTACAGTTCCAGGGTCTCCTGCAAAAACTATTAGCAGCAGAAAACCTTAATACATAACCAAAGATTTTTCCATGGAGTTTGATGTTTGGCTGCCCAGCTGACATGTAAAATACCTGCTGCTGTAGAGGACTTCTGGGACTGCAAAGGTCTGGATTTTCCCACCAGTTTGCAGCTTCCCTGGCAAGGGAACACCTGAGAGCTGCTGGAGGTGATGTGATGGTGGGTGATGGCTGTGGGGCAGATCACCCACGGTCACAGTGACAACACAAGGGCCAGGGACGTGCCATGTCATGTACAAATGCAGAGTCATGCCTCTTGCCTGGTAGAGAGCAGGGTTGTGGAGATCTCCTGTGCTAGGTGAGAGCAAAGAGAAAAGCTTTCCAGGCATCCAGCTCTCAGAGCGATCACCACAGGGCAAAGTTTTAATTTTATTTGTTTTCCCTTTTCTGAAAATTTTCATTCAGAAACAATCACAGGCTAAGGAGGAGCAACTCACCCCAAGCAGGTTGCCTCACTCTTGTCAGCCCACTTGTTGAACATGAACTCCCCTGGCCCCTATGTTCAGTGGTCCATTTTTTCATAAAACACAGAGCAGCACCCCAGAGGGTGCAATAACCAAACACTCTTCACTTCTCCAGACACTGAGCATCTCAAATATGGATTTTGCAAGTTGCCTGGAAAATATCAGGTTTTCAAGGGCCACTCGAGTGTTCATTATTTTGTGGAATGAAAAGGACTGCATGAGAGGGAAGCCTTCCCTGATTTCCATTTATTAGAGAAAGCAAGCTTACCTCCTTGTTTTCAAAATGTTTCCCTTCTTTTCCAGCAAACTCCACTGTCCAAAACACCTTTCTGCCAATGTAGTGGTTGATTTTTAGTGAGGCAGAGCATTGCACAGGGCTAAGAGGAGAGTGGGTGAAAAAGGCAGCAGGTATAAGGGAGAGAAATGGGGAGATCTAAAAGTGACCTGCTGGAGTCACAGTGCAGACATCTGCCAAGCATATCTGCTACATCACCCATCTCTATTCCTAAGGTCCCCTCCTGGTGCACCCATTGCCACTGGCTGCTCTGGCTCCTGCATTGTCACCTGCTGCCTATCCACATCTTTGCCCCACAGGAATGTCCAGTATTGGGAGTCTTCAAGCTCATCCTGCCTGGTATGGCTTCAAAGTTAAGAGCTGAAATGTCCCTGTCCCTACAGCAAGTCTGATGGGTTGGCCAAGTTTGGCTTTCTAAAGACATTTGACATTTCTCTCCTTTCCCTGACACATTCAGACCTGGTGTTTGCAGGAGCTTTCCCTGGGCTAAACACAGGGCTGAGAACACATCAAGGAAGACTGGGAACAGAAATGGGGGAAGGATGTTCTGGGACATAAACTGGATACAGCAGCCATGAACAAACAAGTTAAACTGCCTGTGCCTTGTGTGCTGTCTGAAATGACAGCCCCACTTTTTTTATTATGCTAAAACATGTGAAATCTCTGCAGTTTAATGTCTTGAAACCTCGAAATCATTATGATCTTCTAATTGCCTTTCACAGGGGTATTCCTTGCTATTCTTACCTTAGCTCTGTGGGTTGTTCTCCTTACTTTTTGTTGAGGTGGTTTCATTATTTCAAGTTTTCACCCCCTTAAATGTTTTCATTTCACCTGTATCAGTATGTAGACAGAACTGTTGGAGTAATTTCCCTTTGCCAGCCTGGAGCCCAGACGTGCCCATGTCGGGGAAGTCCCACAAACAAAGTGTTGGTCCATCTATCCTTGCCTGCCTCTGCCTATAGCTATGGAAGAGGCTGTGGATTTTGGAGGGGGAGGGAAAGAAGTGAGGTAGGGTTGTCTTACCATGATGGCCTCGGCTTGCTTGGAGTCCAGCTCCGACACCGCCCTGCGGAAGCCTTTGGCTGCAGAGGTGGAGATGTTCGGGGTTGGCATCTTTGCTCTTCCACGAGCTCTGCTGTCTGCTTTCCAGCTCCTTGCCAGCTTTTTATAGGGCAGGGCTGACGTCAAAGACTCTTTCAAATCTTCTCTTCCCCTGCCACCTCCCCATCACCACCTCCCTCCTTTCTCCCCCTCGGGCTGAGAGGAGGAGGGGATGTGAAGGAGAGAAACGTGTCTGTCCCATTAAATCTAATCGCTACAAAGATTGCAGACACCCTGCCTTCACAGACCAGACAATCCCCCACCTGTTTGCCTGCATCCAAAAGATTTCTTCTCTAATTTACCCCTTCTCTCCTTTCCCCCTCCCCCTCACTTCTGGATGGAGTTCATTCTCATTACATGTTTCAGTCCGGCACATTTGCTTCCCCAGCTTGGGAGTTGCATGAAAGGATTTTGATCTGTGAAAGGATGAAATAAAAGGAAGGCAGAGATTTAGCCCTCTCCAGCCTTTTTCCCCCCTTGTTTGCCTTGTCATGGAGGCAGTAAAGTAATAGGAAAATAACACTGATTCCCGCAAGGCAGCTGCGGGACTGGATGCCGTTCTCATGTGAGCACCTCCCGGCACCCGGCTCCTGACAACTGTGTGTCAGAATAGAGAACACAGCTGTGCCTTCCAGGGCTCCCCCACCACCTCAGAGCTTCCTTTGGCCATGTCACTCTGAAAGCAGGAGGGCAGAATCTGACTCCTCAGAAATGAAAAAGGCTGTAGAGGAAATAACCTGGAAAAACCCTCGCAGTCCTGCCTTCCTAAGTGCTTTGCTCCTCTTGCAGAATTCCTAAGGGACCAAATGCCTGAGTGCAGCTGGGGCTGACAGTGTGTGACAGGTCAGACCCATGCGAGGGTCTCTGCTTTGTTGTGAGTAAAACTGGCATTTTTCTCTGATTAGACTTGCAGCAGCTGTCCCACCCAAACAAGTGCTGCAAGAATGCATGGCCGTGCTTTGTGTGAGCCACCTCCATCCTGGTGGCAGGCCACTGACTGGCACAAATCCCTGTGGCGGGGAAGCTGGTGGCCTTTCACCAGCTGACTGCCCGAGAGCTCACCTGCAACCTTGCTGACCACAGCACTGACATCTGGTAGGGTTGGTGGCTCATCCTGCACTCAGCAGGACAGCTGAGTTCATCCCAGCCTGCTGATGACTTCTGCAGTGCCAAAAGCTCTGGAGTAACCACAACCCATTGACATCCTTGAGGATGCAAAGTTGTTGATGTTTGCCAAACACCAGGGAGCAGGCAGCGTGACCAACACTGCCTGCCCCACCAAGGCAGCTGGGGAAGTTCATTGTTGGGAGTTGAAGCTGAAGTAAGCAGTTGGCAGCAGCTAAAGATTGGTGCAATATGAGACAAAATGGATTTTAAGTCATGTGGAGTATCTTCTCTTATTGCAGGTGCTGAGGGCACTTGGCTGGTCAGTACAGTAAAAACCAGAGGAAGGAGTTAAGCAGCCATCTATCCCCAGCCTCTGTGTCCTCACGTGTGGTATCACCTCACACACTGAGAACAGCCCTTGCCTTTGCTTTAATTTCATCCCTAATCCCCTCTGAGTCTCCTAAACTGTCTGTTTGCTCTCTGCTAAACCCTGGATGCTCAAACCACAAGATAAGACCCCACCAAACCGGTGGAGGGTAATGCTGCCTGGTGTTGCAAGGTTTTCTCAGAAAATATTTTGGGAGCAGGTTCCAAGGCACTCCACTGCCCAGAAGGCAGTCAAGGAGCAGCACTGCAGGCTCAGCCACCTCCTGTCTGCTGGGGTGGCTTTGAGGACCCTCTTGTTGGGGGATTCAAATTAACACAATGCTATGGTTGATTTATTTTTATGTCCCTGGCTGAGGTGAGCCATGGTTGTTGGATAGGCTGGGATGCCAGGAACAGGGCTCTGAAGATCGTAAGGAAGAAAAGAACCCACTTCAAAAGAGGCCTCAAAAATAATGCTCAGGTGTCTTTTGTGGGAGGCACCAGTGAAGAGACCTCAGTGGGGATTCTGTAACACCATTAATGCCAGTAAAGGGGGCATAGAAAGAGGGCAGAGGGCACAGCTCTTCCCCACAGGAAGAGGATGAAGCTGCAAAGGTATTTAGGATGAAAAGCCATAGTTACACTAGGTAGTCAAGAAATATTTAGTTAAAACTATTCAGAGACTTTGCTAGAGTAATACCTGTTAAAAAGAAGCATTGTCAATGAAGGGTCTTGCCAGGACTGGGCCAGCTTCACTGGGATTTCATTTGGAAAGGAAATAGAGACTTGGGTAGGAGGAGAGTTGCAATAATTGCATTTGAAGGTATTTACCAAATCACGTTTTAACTGTGGATGAATTATTCTGGCTTGCACCTTTAAAACAGCATGTAGAATATGGAATTACAACATTTTTCATTTGAGGTTTTCAGTTCAATTTAAGAACAAAGACAAAATTTAAATTAATTGATTAATTTAATCCCTTTTCCTTCATGCTGTTTTCTTACCTTAAAATCAGAAAAAGAAATCATTTTGCTAGACTTCTTATTTTTGGAAACTGACTTAGTTTAACGGTCTCTTTTGAGAAATATTTGCCAGTGATGATAAACCTAAAATCAGCCATCACAGCAAGCTCCAGTTATCCAAATCTGTAATAAATTTGCTAAGAGGATAACCTTAAAATGTCAGTTCATGTAAAGAATTGAGAAAATTGGAAAAATAGTAAATATGGGAACAGAATAAGCCACTCAGCCTTCCTGCAGGCTGTAACCTATTCAGAGATTACATATGAAAGCTCTTCTGACAAGCAGAGGCTTTAAAATGTGCTGATAACATCAAACAAGTTCTCAAGATTATTGTATGACTAGGTGGAATTTCTCTGAATATATTTTCTCTTTTCCTTTTGTCTTGTTGCATGTTGTTACTTCCCTTGTGAAATCCAGTACTTTATTCAAGATCAGCAGTCCTTCTCCTTGGTTATCTCATCCCAAAGCCCTTGATTTTTATTCCCTTGTCTTCCTACTGTTGGCAAATTAGGCATACAGCTCTCTTCTTCTTCAAACCCTGCTGATCTGCTTGCCCCATCCCTGTCTGGTGATGAGAGTCCTGCATTGTATGGAAATGCTGTCCAGCATGGAGCCAAAGTTCTGCTTTCCATGCAACCAAGGGGAAAACGTGCAGATTGCTGTGAGGGGACTGCCATGGTAGGAATTTCACACTCTGATAGGAGTGAAAAATCAGGGTGGTTCTCCTGTCCTGGAGGAGCTGACACAGAGGAGGGAAGCTGGCAGGAAGCATGTGGAAGCAGGTTCTCCTTTTGGCCAGCAAGGTGGGTGGATGTCCTTCAGAGCAATTATCAGCACGGCTGCAAAAGGATTTTACTTTTTCCCAGAGAGTCCAGTGCAAGGCTGTTCAACACATTTCCCACCTGTGTCCTTTGCAGGCAAATTCCCATCTTTTTGGAAGCCAGCCACATCTTAGAATTTTTCATCTCTCAGTGTGTCTACATCTCCCTAAACCACCTGCCTGGGTCCATGTTTAAGTTCTGCTGATATCAGACATGACTTTTGGGGGGGTGTAAGCCTATTTGGTTAAACCAAGACAGGTTTGTCTCAGCTTTTATCACGTTTGACTAATTACCAGATTTGCTAATAGGGAAGGGGAGCCTTTAGGAAGCTTTACAAAGGAAATACAACAGATGGATGGGTCTCCATCACTGCTTTGTTTCTCATACTCCAACCACATGACCATCCTTGAATGTGTGTGGGTGCCATGTGTATCCAGCTGTGTGTTTTTAGGGATTAATCTGACATAAAGCAGCCATGGCAAACATGTCTGGACACCGTTTCCCTGCACTAGTCCCCAGAGAGAGAAGTCCATAAACTCTGATGCTCTGACTGTGCTTCTCTCAAGGGTGAAGCAGACCCAGAAACGACCCAGGAAAGGCATTAAGGTGCAAAGTACTGCTGGTCCTGTGGAGGCTGGTTTCACCTGCCACTGGATGTGGGATTGGTGGTGCAGAGATAGAAACAAGATATTAATATTTGTGGCTGGATTGGAGCAGGCAAGGCACTGCTATAAGGATAACTATGATGACAATCAGTATATACAAGCCTATCTTTAAAATCTCTTTCCACCATGGTGCAAGGCTCAATTTATCGAGTAGATCATCCAACCATGTCCCATCCACAAGCATTGTTTACAATAATCACCATTTCTGGGCACCTTGGGTATGGGAACCAAGGGGAAACCCTACCTGCCAAACATCCACCCCTAATTGTGGGGAGCTGGAGTGATCTCCAACCTGTCATCTTCATGCAAGCCCCAGGGTGAACCAGTGGCAAAGGCACAGGGCAGGAGCAGGGGGTCTCTCTGGTGGGCCAGGGAGCTGCAGGGACAGGGTTTGTGCTGTGACAGTCCCCCAGCAAGGCCCAGAAAGGGATGGTGTACCCTGATGTGAGGGCGAGCTGCCCTCTCCCATCACAACCAAGGCAACTCTGGTAGCCATGAGGGGTGCCCAGGCACCCTCACTGCTCTTTCTTCCACCCACTTGCTCTCTCTCCCTCTTCCCCTCCACAGCATGAATAATTACAGTCTGCCGTAATTTTGAGGCAATTATAGGGGAGTGAGCCAGCTCCATCAAGAGATGTTTTTTCCTCTTCTCCCTTCACGGCTCCATTCAACATCCCCAAGTGCCACAAAGGAGTTTAATAACCCATAATGACACCTCAGGCCTTCACATCATTGCATCCTCCCTAAGACTGGGCCAGCATCAGGAGGGAAAAAAATAAAAGAGATAATTAAAATGCTCACCTCCCTCTTAACTTCGCAGCCTCCTATTATCTAGAAAACGTGGATTTTGTGCTCAGGCTGTGTCACGACAGATGAGCCATGGGGAAGGGGGGCTGCAAGCAGCAGAGATGTGCTAACATCCAGGGCAGGGCAGAGAGATGCTTTGTGCCACCCTAGGAGAAAAGCTCTGCCATCCCCTCCACTGCAGAGGCAACCTCTGGGACGTGATGGGTCTCTGTGCAGGGGTTGTT